AGAGGCTCCTAAGGACCTCAGGAAATCCATGTTCGACTATACTGTTTATGCCCTTTCCCAACCCGCATGAAGCAGAGCCTGCCACTTCCGCTTGCCCCACGGCATCCACCTGTAACCTCCAGATTCACGGAAGCTTCCATTGCCAAAAAGTGGTCTCAAGCCAAGAGCCCCAGAAGATGTAATTAAGTATAGTCGGACGAGTGTTGGATGTCCTGAGGAAGTTGTAGAGACACTGCAAATCTGGAGCCTCAGGATCGGCTCTCAGCTTCGGCCGATTGCAAATTCGCGCCAAGGCGCCGTAACATCTTATGATATCTGCATGAAGCACTCAAACCCTTAAAAAAGCAAACACCCAAAAGAAGCAAACAGGGCCTGGCCAGAAATCCGGACTGCTTGAAACCCTGTTTAGCACTCACGCTCGATCAGCATGAGGCCAGGTTTCTGGACAACTCAGTGGACTCCAACCGCTCTTCTCCCTTACATAAACCTTCAACCGAAGGGCCCTATGTATTGTATTTCATCTACATTCATGTAACAGATACCACTGGACTGTGTTATACCATGCTATGTTGGTTGTATGCTATTTATACATGCTTATACCATCTATTAATTTGCATCAAAAAAATCTTGAACCAGCCGAAAAGGTCACGGTTGGGAACATACTCTGGGCTGCCTCGCGGCACCGAGCAAGGAGGCTAAGCCCAGCGCGACCTGGCGAAGCAAATGCAAATGGCAAACATTGCCAGAGTACAGTACATCTAACTATAACTAACAGCTCCAACCCGGCCTGCATGCTTTCTCTGTGTCTGTCTGCCTGTCTGTGCGATGTATGCATGCATGCATCCCAGCGGGGGTAGGTGAACGGATGACAGATGGATAGAGCTGTGTGTGTGTGTGTGTTTGTTTGTGTGTATGTGTGTTTGTTTGTGTGTATGTGTGTTTGTATGTGTTTGTCTCTGTGTGTGTGTGTGTTTGTTTGTGTGTGTTTGCTTGCTTGCTTGCTTGCTTGCTTGTTTGTTTGTCGTGTGTTTGTGTTTGTTTGTTTGTCTGTTAGTCTGTTTGTCTGTTTGCTTGTTTGTTTGCGTGTTTGCGTGTCTGTCTGTCTGTCTGTCTGTCTGTCTGTCTGTGTCTGTCTCTGTCTCTCTCTGTGTCTGTCTCT